CAACGGAACCTGATGTTTAGTTAAATTAATCTACTCTTGTTTTTAGTTCTATTGATCATACATGAGTTGTTTATCATATTTTGTGCTTAACATATGATTGTGTGACCAATAATTAATTTGATAACTTAGATGAAATTGGAAGATGAATTTTAGGTTTAGATCTGAATATGATGACATGTATCTGGTTAATTCTTCTTAGGATTGAATTGCTGAGTTTGTGTATAGGATAGGAATATACATATATATCGAGTATACCCTTTATGAGAGTTTGAACTTAATGAATCTATTCCAAATTATTTTATATAGGAATATAGTAATTTAATTGGACAAGATATTTTTATCTAACTATCGGAAGAAGTTTAATAAATAATTTTGAATTCTTAGTTAACAACTTATTTCGATCAATCAACTAGAAAGAGAATGGAAAGATTTATACGAAACATTAGAGGAAGTTGTAGTTTTAAGTTCTTTTAACTGGTAAATTCAATCTTGATTATTAAATTTAGATTTAGTTTTAAATTAGTCATTTCATAATTCAATTTCAATTATTTAAACAAAATTGAATTGAGACAAAGTTAGTACTTGGATATTATTAGCAATAATTCTCTGTGGGAACGATATTTTACTTATCACTTTATTATTTATTGATCGTGTATACTTGCACGTAAATTGTCAATATCAAATTCAGATAACAAGTTTTTGGCGCCATTGCCGGGGACTTATTCTAGTAATTATTTCAATATTAATTTTAATCAATTTGATCATAGTTTAAACTTATTTACTTTCCTGTTTTAATTATTTTCGCAAGTACTGTTGAATTTTGTATGCAAACACGATCTACAGGTGAGGAGCCACTACCGTACGAAGACGAAATCGAAAGAAGGCTTCGAAACTTGCGAAAACAGTGTCAAGAAGCAAAGAATCAAGAAGCTATGGCTAAAGATGAATTCAAAAACTTATTGTCTGAATTTGATATTGACAATTTACATGCAAGTATACACGATCAACAAGTAATAAAGTGATAAGTAGAGTATCGTTCCTATGGAGAATTATTGCTAATAATATTCAAGTACTAACTTGTATCAACTCAATTTTATTTAAACAATTGAAATTGAATTATGAAATGACTAATTTAAAACTAATAATCAAAAATTGAATTTACAAGTTAAAAGAACTTAAGATTACAACTTCCTCTAATGCTTCGTATAAATATTTTCACTTTCCTTCCAGTTAATTGATCGAAATAAGTTGTTAATTGAGAACTCAAAATTATTTATTAAACCTCTTCCGATAGTTAGATAAAAATATCTCTCCCAATTAAATTACTATATTACTATGTAAAATAATTTGGAATAGATTCATTAAGCTTAAACTCTCATAAAAGTTACACTCGGCATATAAGTATATTCTTATTTTATACACAAATTCGGCAATTCAATTCTAAGAAGAATTAATCAAACGCATGTCATCATATTCAAATTTAAACCTAGAATTCATCTTCCAATTTCATCTAAGTTATCAAATTAATTTTTGGTCACACAATCATATATTAAGCACAACATATGATAAACAACTCATGTATGATCAATAGAGCTAGAAACAAGAGTAGATCAATTTAACTAAACATCATGTTCTGTTGCAATCTTAATAAAGATTTAGTTCATAATGAAATTGAAAAACATCATTCTCAATTTAAACAACATCTCAAAAAATCAAGAAGTAAAAGTAAAAGAAGAGAATGAAAACTTAGTTGTAATCTTCAATTTCTCTCTAGTCTTTGGTTCCAATTTTTCTTTGTGTCGATTCCTTCGATTCTTGTCTTCAATTTTCTTTCAATCTTTGGTCTTCTCTCTTGTTAGCAGCCCCCAAATTCAGTCTATCTCTACCCAACTCAAACCCTAGCATATATGTCGCATTATGGTTCAATTTTGGCCCCAAAACAAGTCAGAATTCGCGTCCCAAAGCCAACACACAAGCGCAACAGCCTTGAAAATCAGTGCAAGGGCGCTGAGTAACTGCTTTTCCAGTGCAGGGGCGCTAGTCCCCTTTCAAACCTAAAATTGCCCTTGTTGCTTAGTCTTCAAAAATTCAACACTTAGGCTCCAAATTGACCTTGTTTCCTTCCAAATGATCATCCCTACAAAATAACATCAAAACACACAAAACAAATAAAAAGGAACATAAAATAATAAAAAACTTACAATTTTATCAAGCCAAAAATACTCAATTCGTAGGTATAAAATCCACTCATCACCTTTCTTTAGAATCCTACGAAAATCTTTTGAGAGGGGATCAGACGCGGAAGAAGCTTTCCAGAAACTGAAAGCCCATCTTACTGCACCCCCTTTGCTCTCCCACTGCATACTCGACAAGACCTTGTACATATGTCTGGCTATCTCATCATCTACTATATGCTCCGTCCTTTTTAGGAAGAGAGAAAGAGTGCAAAGGTATGTCTACTATGTGAGCAGAGCATATCGAGGAGCAAAGATAAGATACTCAAGACTATAGAAGCTAGTTCTCGCCCTAGTCACAACAGACAGGCACCTTCGGCACTATGTCCATAGCCACACCATCATGGTTCTCACGGATCAACTATTAAAAAAGAATAATAGGAAAGCCAGATGTGTTCGGAAGGCTCCTTAAATGGGTTGTCGAATTGGGCGAGTTTGACATACAATACCAACCGAGAGCAGCCATCAAGACACAAGCGTTAGCAGATTTTATGGCCGAGGTCACACTGCCCAATGAGGGAGGCAATGAAGAAAAACTAGCACACATGGCCAGTGCCCCAGCGCTTGCTTACCTTCAGACTAGCCTGTGCTCAAGAAGCGCCTCGCCTAGCTCTCCAGGCACCTTGCTCCCCTGGCACTTTGGCCATGGCGCCCAGCTCACCAGGCACCCTGCTCTCCTAGCGCCTTGGCCTTGGTGCCCAGCTCACCAGGCGCCCAGGCCTTGGCACCCTACTCCCAAGGCATCATGACCTCGGTACGTTGCTTCCCTGGCTCTCCATCTTTGGTGTCTTGCTCCCCAAACACCTCAACACTCTTCTCCTCCATGCCCCTGCACAGTGCCCCATTACTTGCCATGAGGACCCTCCTACCAACCAGTGCCTTCGTACCCCTTGATGTCGTGCCTAGATCTACGTATTTTTAGAGACTTTATGTAGATGGGTCATCAACCAATGAAGGGAGTAGAGCAAGCCTAGTACTTATTAGCCCTAACGGCACACCTCTCAAGTACGTCGTATCACTCCATTTTGCAGTCTCCAACAACGAAGCAGATATGAGGCGCTTATCTCAGGCCTAAGGTTGGCAATCGAAATTGAGGCCGAACACCTCACCGTCTATGGTGACTCTCAACTGGTTGTTAACTAAGTAAAAGAGGATTTTGAAGCGAGAGAAAAAAGAATGCAGGTGTACCTAGCAATGGTGCAAACTTTATTAAAAAAATTTACCATTTTCAGATTCAATATATGCCAAGGGAGGATAATAATGTAGTAGATGCACTCGCCAAGTTTGCATCATCCTCAGACGTCCTTAGCCAGGCCCTCCATCATGATTTTGATAATGCCCTCGATACCAGATGACTGATTTCTTAAACATCTGAGGGTATCATGAACCTCAAAATTCGATCCCTCGCTACATTCGTGTTCTAAAGCATGGACACAGAAGGAACAGGTGGCCTCCTGAGATACCCTAGCTAGAGAAGTAGCTTGAGGAGGTACTTGAACAATTGAAACAGGTGGAGGGGTCACCTGCTAAGAACCCCCAAGAGCATTATCCAACCTAACTCTCTTTGGTGTAGGAGTCATTTGCATAGCCCTAGTAGAGTAAAGAGCCTTCACCCTGGACTTGTTTACAATGGAACTAGAATAAAAGGGTAAGCTTTAGAAGTTGAAAATATAGTCAAAGAAAAAAAGAGCCGCTACAAAAGATAACATACCTCTCTTTTTACAAGAAGAGTTGCGAGCTTGGGAAGAAGGTAAATCATCTCTAGAGGGGGAACCCCTAGCCTCACCCTCTCTAGACATAAGGGTCCCATAGTCCTTTACAAGATGAGCCCTCAAAGGCCTAAAGTTTTCCCTCTTGGTCTGCCGAAAACTCTGCCAAACTTGGAAAAGAGTTGGGAATATAGTGAAGGAATAAGGAACAAAAAAAAATTATACCTATCCTCTTGGGTGCACCCCATCCAGTAGAAATCAAAGCTCCTTCCTCTTCAGCAGTCCACTCTCCTCCCATAAACAAATATCGGGTCCTCTAGCTATGGCAGTTGAAGTGCAATCTAGTGATCAACTTTCGTGCCCTTAGAGAAAAGTGGTACCAGCCTCGTTTGGGAGTGGGGTTCTCATGTAAGGTATAAGCAACAAAAAACTCATACATGAAGGAGAGGCACCTTCACCGTGAACGCGTCTCCACAACGCAAGGAATCTTAGCAACACTCTCTAGCCGCCCCTGGCACCAACGACGAATATGGCAGAATGCGGCACACAGGTGAAGGTANTAAGGTATAAGCAACAAAAAACTCATACATGAAGGAGAGGCACCTTCACCGTGAACGCGTCTCCACAACGCAAGGAATCTTAGCAACACTCTCTAGCCGCCCCCGGCACCAACGACGAATATGGCAGAATACGACACACAGGTGAAGGCATCGAAAACCTTAGACTTGCTTCTAACGTCTCCTCTCCTCATAGACAACAAGGTCCCCAGAAGAGTCATCAAAGGTTGGCTCACCCATCTTAACCCAACGGCACAACATTGTAGGAGGAATGTGAAAAATGGATATAATCCTAGTAATCTCAGCATCAGTGTTGAGGGAGTTAGAGACACCTTAGAGCCATCGTTATCAGTAGCCACTTTACCACGATACTTGCGTCGTCGTGGATGAAGAGGAGTATTACCATCACCTCTCGCTACTTGCCCAATGCTTATCTCCATGCATATCTCCTTCCTAGCACCCAGCCTGAATGCTTGTGACGCGACACCCACCACTTGTGCCTACTCATGCACCTGCCCATGTGTCAGTGCCTGCCACGGTGCCCCAAGCGCCCACGCCTGTGCCCCAGCCAGCGCCCGCGCTCCAAAAGCCCTCGCCCTAGCCCGCACTCTAGCAACCCTCACCCGTGCCCCGGTCAGCACCCGCGCTTGTTACCTCAACACCCACGCCAGCCCTGGTGCCCCCGCCAACCACCTCGATGCCCATGCCTGATGCCTCGACACCTACACCGAGCTCGACGCCTACCTTGACGCCCGCTGCCTCTACCTCGGCACCCGTGCTTGTTGCCATGGCGCTCGTGCCCACCACCGCACCTACTGTCCTGGCATCCATGCCTGCTACGCCACTTGACCCTCTTGGCTCCTTGAACCCTAGCGCTTCAGATTCTCTTGGTGTCGCCTTACCTAAGACCTGATCCTTGAATCTCAATTCACTCGACACATCACCCTTCTCTATTCTTTGTTAGACTGAGTTGGGGGAATTGACAGGCGAAGGGATTCTATTTATAGCCCAAGCTTCAAATTTGACAGTGTTCTAATCAAGAGGGAGTCTCACTAGGATTGGGATGCAGTCTCCTAATTAGGGTGGAAGTAGAAATCCAAAACAGTCTAGAATGAGAAGTCCTAATCAGAGTGGGATAATGATCCCTATCTAAAAGCTTAAGGTAACAGATAAGCTCCCTAAAAGAAAGTCAAGAACAACGATAAATCTCCACCAACAGAGAGTGCCTACTAACCCAAGAATTTAAATCCCAAAACAATATCTGCAAGAACACAGTCAATACTAGGGGAAAACAGTGAAAAACAAGAGATAAATTTTATCATTGTTAAGTCCCTCTCCCCCCAAATTCCATTGGGCTTAGGGCATAGGGGAAAAATGATGGGTCTAGCCCAGAATACGCCCAAAATTATGAACCAACCCATAGTCACAGTCAAGGTTCAGCTCAGAGGCCCAGTTTAGGAAGGTAGGTCAGGTGCACTGCAAAAAGGAGGAAGTTAGGTCAACCATGCTATCTTGAGATAGGGTCAAGTCACCCACCCCATGATGAGAGGTTCAGTTTATAACTGACAGGTGGAAGGATCTCCTTGGGATGTGCAGGTCACCACCTCCATAGAATTGTCTCTCATGTTACGAGAAGAACACCACCTCCATCAAACTACCTTAGCTGATACGAGAAATGTTTCTCAATTTGGTAAGAAGCGCCTATAAATTGTAAGCCCTACCTACACAAAGGGGGCATCACACACATCTCTCACACTTGAGTACTCTACACTTCTTGAAGCAATAAAACACCCTGGTCATTCTAACCCTTCACAGTAGAGTAGGCTACATTGACCGAACCACTTAAACTATGTTAACTCTCCTCATTTATTATTGCATTAAATATTTGAGAGATGATGCATAAACTCACTTTTGTGCATCATCAATTATAGTAGTAAATTAAATTTATAAAACATGATAAATATTACACAAATCACATTATCATTCAATGAAAAAATAAAGTAAAATACCGACAGATAATTTTTGGGTTTTGTCCTGGGACTTTTTTAAATTATTGGTAAGATGCCAAAGGAAAATTCGAGTCAAATTAGCGACCAGCATAAAACACAGACAATCCAAAGGCTCAAGGCGAAACCCAGCTCTAAAGAGAGAGATTGTGGTCGTCTCGTAACCCCAGGGAATTTAAGTTGTCGCAAAAAAGCCTTAAATGAGTGCCAATGTTGATAAATGGATGGAGGCGGGTATGATTTTTCCTACCTCTCCGGCGGCATGACGAACCTGATTATTGTTCTTAATTCCAACCTCTCTATGTCCAAAAATAAAGAAATAAATGAATAACTAAAGGCATCCTATCAATTTGATAACTGTATGATCAGGCATCAAAACGCACGTGCATGTGAGAAGATGGTTCAAGACAGCAGAACTTCATACTATCCAGTCTTTTCAAATATCATAACTTGATCTAATGGTTAATAGCCATCAATGCTGTAACGTTTTGATTTCAATGGAAAAAGAGTGAAAAGGTAATCAAAAACCAAATACCAATATGTCAGTGCTTCGACTAATGTTTCAGAATCTAATTTCACTGTTTTCTCTATTTCTTTTCTATCTCCAAAAATGTTTTTAAAACGTCTCTCTTTCCGCACTAACTGTAACTATAAACAAATTTTTAACGCCTGAAAGTTTCACATGACAAACAAAAACTAGCAGAACGCGACTAATACCGTAAGGATAGGCTACAAAATGTGCTGTGCTTTACTGAGACCTAAAACTCAGTAATTAGCTGGAAGATGGTTTTGGAAACAATACTTAGAATTGCCCATTTCATTAACCACTTGAATAAAAGATGCAGAATATCATTTTGGAGCTTAATCCTCGTCCCTATTTAGAGGTAAAAGAAAAATGTTGCCAAATTCCTTTACTGATCATTACAAATCTATAATATAAGATAGAAACAAAATTAACACACTCAACCAAACCCACATCAACTTCACCACCATTATAACCAGTAATATTCCGAGAGAAGCCTACTATAGGTGTAATATCATGGTACATGGCAGTACCAAAAGAGAAAAAAGAACATGCTAAATTATTCCAACCAAAGCAAACCTAATGTTATCAACCCATAGCTAGGTTATTACCTCAGGACATAGCAATCAATTCTTTCAAAAAGTCTAAATATTAGAAGCCTTGCCCATTTCTGAAAGCTATATACAAAAACTTATGTCCTACCAGAGTGCAGTTGGCCCTGCAGCAAGCAAATCACAAAATGAGTGAGTGTAAATTTGGTGTCAAAGCTAAACAAGAAGAAAATCAGAAGGGTGTCTTAAAAAAGAAAAAAAAAAGGTTATGATGACCACTATAATTCGGTATGCAATTTTCTCAAGAACAATAGTTCCCAGAAAATCAGAGTGGATATGAAATAGGTATCCCTAGAATTAGCAGAAGTGAAGTTCCCTCAACTGTTTCTTCTTTCTCTTTTTAAAGCACTAAAAGTAGTGCACAGATGCAGAATATTTTCCTTTTTCTTTTTTCTTTTTTCACGAATCACAAATTACAACACCGAGGACCAAAAGTACCATTGCTATATTTCCAACACTCTTGTCAAACAAGCATCCCAAATGGCAGTTCTGAAAAATGCATGCTCCATGAATGCCACAGGATACCAAACCAACACTTAAAAAAGAATGCTAAGCACCATGCATAAGTTGGGAGGACATGAAAATGTAAATATTGCTCTGACTTCTCATTAGAATATCTTGCATATTTGGATGTAAAAAAGTACCACTGATATCATTTGATCAATCCCTGCCAAAATCTTCATAACTCAAACCTTCTGCTATAGTGTCCAACCTCCCATTGTCCCCTGACAAGCCACAACACAGATGTGAACTACCTCTTTCCATTTTAAGAAACGACAATTGCAAAAAGTCTTACCTTGGTGATTACCCCTACCATGGGGATGAAGGAAGTTGTCTGCATCTGCTGTGAGGAAGGGAGACCTAGAGTAGCTCTCCAGTATGTCTAAAAAAGAATAACAGAAGGATCAGTATTAAGTGCATTTCTAAGTTCCAATGATTGCTTTGTCCAAGTGATATTAAAGTACAATAATAAGGGTTCACATTTTTGGTTGAGTTTTGTCCAATCAAGTTTTTACTAGGGAAAAGAGAACAAACCAGAACTATTCGAATAATCAGCTGTTAAGTCTGAGAGACTGAAACTTCGAGGATTCTGCCCCAAAAATTCAAATGCAGATGTATCCTCTAGGAGCGTATCATTCAGGGGATGTGAATTGTCATTGGACTCCACACTACTAAAAGCTGAAACAGCTGCATCTCCAATGGCAGAGCGTGTATCCAGGACATTTCCATCAACACCAACAATGTATGGGGAACCACCTGCATAGCCAGCTTCTGCTTTTATCATCCCCCCATTCATTCCTTGCATCATTCCCACATTTGAGCTCCGAGCTAACAGCATGTTCTGAGGAACATTAATCCTTCTGGCATGAGCAGACACATCAACAGCTGGTTGCATGCACGAATGCATTGAAGACCCCAAATTAGTGAATGCATTAGTTAAGTTAGTATTAATAGGCTGGTGCATGTTCTCTGGCTTCAGAGCAGGTCCAGTATTTTCTGGGGCGCATGTTGAGTTCTGATGCACTGCCAGAGTGACACCAATTAATATAAAGCAAAATGAAAAAGGTATTGCAGGTTGAAATTTTGAAACCCAGGACTGAAAAGAATACGACAGACTAACCAACAAAACCAGTCCTTTTCGGGTGTGTTTCTGTGTCAGGCAGGACCACTAAACAGTAGGTGTAAAAGTAACCATTTTTACAGCATTCATTAACATTCTATAAAATTCATCACAGGTCAATCTAAATGTTGGATTGTATGTCCCTTTGATGCTAGTCATGCATGCCAAAAGCCAACATAGGTAAAAATAAAAAGCTACCTCCTCAACTAAGACAGAAAAGTTTATGGATGCAGATATCAATATGTAATTGACTTGGCATGTGTCATCCATGACAGGCAACATTATCTGTCAGCTTGAGGAAGAGGAAATGACTCTTATAAGAAGTTATTGTGCGGAGTACGAAAAAATATGCCAACACTGGGTGTAAGTGGAGCTTGTCACCAATCACACATACGGACAAAAACGCACAATAGCTGTGCTTGAAAGAACCTAGAAAGTAAAAGCTATTTCAGTTCAAACAATAAATGCAAGCATCATGCTTCAACCAACATATTTGCCTCGTAAAAAAAAACACCCAGTGTTTATGTCTATGTCTCTTATTAACAGTCCCATCTATTCCCATAACACCGCTGTGCATGTTTTGTGCGTCTCTTATGTGAAACACCTTGAACATCATATAGTGACAATCAAGGAGTAATGTAGGCAATGAAACGATCCCTGGTCCTATAAAAAGAAAGCCTGGCCATTTCTGTTGTGCATGTTTGTGACAAATATGAAAAGGAATCTCTCTGATACACTTCAATTATTAATCCAACAGCCCAGAGATTTTGCAAGTTGGACGAAATCCAACACCACAAAGAGAAAAGTACCATCACACAGTATTCACATATCACGTCGTCTTAACAATCCACGTTTCTATGTTGTTAGCTTTAGAATTAGCTCACTCTAGTCCACTCAAGGGGTGGGATTATCTTTTCATTATTATACCTCACTGTCCACTGTGGAATAATGTTGTTAGCTGAAGATACAAGGACACTAGGGACTTAGCATGGTGTGGGATACAACAAATGAATGGCTCCTGATTAATCATAATGTTGAGAACTTGATCAGTGATCCTGACAACTACTTGGGAAAATTCATTAAACGATGAATATTTCTCATGGATAATTTGATCAACTTGCCAGCTGATTCCTATCTTTTTTCTTTTTAATAAGAAATAAAGCGTTTTTGATCATTGAATTAAAGTTGTACACAAAGAAAAAGGTGGAACTCAACTAGCTGATTCTTCACTTACTCAATAGCACCAAAAAGCTTAGCTCGAACTACTATGATGCATCTACATCCTTCCACTACAAACCAATCCGTATTAAACACAATTTTGGGCTAAAAGTCTTTTGGATAAAAATATTATCCAGAGCCTCAGATGTATTTAAAGTCGATGAAGGAAAATGAAATCTAATGACCAGTAGGATTGGCTGTTTTAAGCAGCAAATCTCCTGGAATGCCTACGTAAAAGATCTTGTGGTAAGAAATCTCGACACTGCATTAATCAAATATGGATGATTTTTCCAATGACATACAAGGACAAAGTCATCCTGACAAGAAACGTGACCAAATATACATATAGAATGACTTGCTTCTCTTCAAATTCTTTCCAAGGAAGTGAATGAAACTATGGTGACCATTGTGGAAACATTTTTTGCAACATCTGACCTGGAACATTTAGCTTCGTTGAATTGTGGGCTGGTACTAGTATGTCTAGCAATTCAGAGAAGTTGAATTAAATCTCAAACACTCAAACACCAAACTCCATCCATCCCAAAATAGTAGTCCACATTTCTTCAAAGGACTTCTAAAAAATTGTGAATTCTGGAAGAATCAAAGGCAAACATTGCCAAAGTTCCCAATTTATCCTTTCTTATAATGCTTACTATGTATTTTCACCTTTTAAACACCATGGTCACTGCAGGTGTTCATGATATCCAAAACAAAGTAGATAGTGAGAATTCAATAGTTAAATTTCCTCAAACAATGTAACGAGCTTAAGTAAATATTATTTTAGGGATAAAGGTGTTAAGAGAGTTTGTATCCCACATCGAATGATTAAGACTACTCAAGCTTAGTTTATATACTATACAGTCTACACCATATATGGTCAATTGATTTTGAGTTGAATGCTCTAACATGGTATCAAAACTAGGTCTTAGGTGTTAGTGGGCCAAGTCTCTTACACATTTGAATTTTCAAGTATACATGGTTATTTGTTTCTTTGTTATCCCCAGGTGTCATTGTGAGTCCCACATGAGGGAGAGTGGTAAGAAAGCTTGTATCTCACATCGAATGATTAGGTCTACCTAAGATTAATTTATATATTACAGAAGCTACTCCGCTAATTGACGATTATTTTTGGATTAGATGCTCTAACAAAAAGGAGTAGATATACATTAGAAGTTCCATGTGCGGTAACAATTGTAAGCTACCGCTACAAACAAATATGTATACGCAGACTGACTGGAGACTATAGTTAGTATCAAAGTTGTCAAAATGTGTATTAGAAAGCATATCATTTTTCAAAAACAACGTATCACGTAATGTATATAGTAAGATGTGCAATTTCATAAAAAATATTAAGAAGTACACATACCTATGAAAAAATAATCATAATAACATTTCATTGCACCACAAATTTCTCACATAAAATAATTTAAAGAGACTACAAGGACCGAAACAAAAATTATAATCAAAGTATTCAAATTTCTAACATAATTCATCAATATCACAATCTAGAGAGTTTTAGTTCTACCATCTAAAGTAGCTAGAGTAAGACACTTTTAACAATCAATTTTTTGCTCTTGCGATAGAATGAATAACAAAAGAAGAATTTTACTTTTTAAAACCGTAGATAGTGAAACGACACTTCATTACCTAGTGTTTAAAAAAAGCAATTTCATGTGAAAATGCATCGTTTTCTAATTAAAATCAAAAAAAAAATTAATTTCTTTCATCCAGTATCAAACAACTCGTACGTATCGTCTCGTATCGGGTGTATCGAATTATGTATTGCATGATACAGTGCAAAACCAATACCCGTAACCGATCCATATCGTTTTCTTCATGTACCTAACATGCACCCCATGTGACTACCTTTTGATAAGGCAAAACATGCATAACAGTTGTCAACCCAATGGAAATACCAGTGAGGTCAGGTCAAGCATAATGTTAATATCCAAGTGAAAAGTTGTCTTACTTGGTGGAATATGAGATCCATTAGACAAAGGAATAGAAGCAACTCCAACTGGGCCTGTTTGACGCATCAGCTCAACCTGTTTTGCAAGCAACGTGTTGAACTCCATTATTTGCTCTTTCACGGTCAACCTCAAATGATATGCCTTGAAAAATTCCTGATTTTCTTCTTCAAGCTTTTGCCAAACTAAAAGACAAGCAATATTTTATTCTCTTGAAAGGATAAGCACAACAAATGTAAATGGTCACAGCAAATAAATGAAAGTGACGCGAGACAACTGAAGAAAAATCCCACGAGTTATTTCCATGATGTTGCCTGATAGTACCATATAAAATGGAAATGTGTATCTTTTATATGAATGGACTCATGCGTTATTAACAGCTTCGCGGGTGTCATATTAACTTAGTAATTAGTAGCCAGCCATCAGGTGAACCACCTCCAATACTTATGTGAAAATCCTAAAACCAACCTTTGTGGATACATGCATGTATTACCAAAATCATCTTGTTTAACCTACAGTTTTGCAAGAGTAATTCATCGCTAAGATCAAATTTCTGACTGCAACATAGCCAGTAACATCAACAAAAAAATATGATGGTGTAAGAGACCCATTAGCCCTGCTACTTGCATAATTTTCGGTAAGACAAATATTACCAAAAAAGACTAGAGTCTTAGAGAACACTATTTTCAACGCGCATGGTAAAAAAAAGATACAATTTCATTCTGGAGCAGTGTCAGCGATCCTGAACATTATTTTTTTTCTAATATCTCCAATAATGTCCATCCCTATAAGAAGAAACAAAATTAATGAAGATTTAATAGCACAGAGATTTTCAGGTGAAGATCGAGTAAAGAGCCATAGCACGCAAGCTATTACTTTACTTTAACTAGGACGTCCTACCTTCCGAAAAAAGAATACGACATACTTAATGTAGATTTTTACATGACAACACATACCTTCAATCTTTAACAAATGCTAGATGATACACAAGAAAAATTTGATAAGATTTGCAAAATCTTAGACCCATCAAAATGTCAAAATTGCGAAAGAATTCTTGTGTCTTATTGAGAGATGTTTAATACGAGATTTACTGCCACACAAACAAGATTGGTGTCAAGAAGTAGAGACATAAATATAAAAAGACAAAAGAATATCAAAGAATTATTCCACATCGGGGTGGAACATGCCCACCAAAGCATCAAAATACTAGTTCCCTAGCTCTTCCCTCTCCCCTTTTAGGTCTTCCGTACATTCTTTATTCTTATCTGCAACTATACTTTTTAATATCTTGATCATGATAAATTTGTTTATTTGAGTCAAGAATCCGATTTTAGATTCGGTATTCAATGCTCGATGACAAGTTAATTGGATAGCGCACATATTTTTTTTTTAATAAGAAAACTACATTTAGACAAAAGCTATCAAATATGGCTATCTATAAATCACAAACAGCCCTCCATCCAGATACTAGAGATCAATTCTATTAGAATTGACAAACAAAAACCATAAGATGGAGATACATGTTATGGGATAAAGTTATAACTCAAGTGAACAGAAACAAGGAACATTGATGACTTCAGAGATAGCACATACTGTTGACAATTTCATACCAGAGGCGTGAGCAGGACTGCAGCATTGAAATCCAATCATAACCAAAAAATGTTTAAGTTGGATAACCATGAATGGAGATCAGTATCAGGTCCTAACAAGGAACATTCTTAACTGAAATTTTAGAACAGTAAAAAAAATAAGAAATTTCCAGCATGAAACACTATCAAGAGACTTTTCTTCTATTCTTAGAGCTACATAATATTTTAAAATTTTGAATATTTCTCTCTAGGGGTGTGCAATTATCTGAAAATCCGACTCCGTCTCCAACTCCGCCTCCGTCGGAGTCGGAAAAAAATTGCAGACTCCGATTGAAGTCGAAGTCTTAAGGTCTATCCGAAAAAACTCCATCTCCAACTTTGACTTTTATTAATTAATGATTCTATATAAATTATATTAGGTATTATTATAAATATAAAAACCCCTATTCTTAGCCCAACCCTAAGCCCACTACTGGCCCACCCCAATATTTTATTTCCCCTTTCTCTCTCTCTCACTCAATGGATGTTTCCCCCCTCTCTCTCTCTCTCTCTCTTAGTCGACGTTCATTCTCTCTTCAACAACGATGAGTGCTCCTCTCTCTCATACAAGCTCCCCTCTGATTAAGTCACAGTCGACTCATCGCTCCTCCAGTTGAACCTTCAAACATCTGAAATCTCAAATTTGAGCTATGAGCTGAGAGATGTCAGATCTCAACGAAGAACTCAACAACAATAGCCCTCAGACAGTAAATCTCTCTCTTTCTTTCTCTTACATACATACATACATACATACATACATACATATATATATATATATATATATATCCCCAAATTTCAAACCCTAAATCCCATTTGAATTTGTCTCTAAACCAAATTTCAGACCCTAAATACACACATACACATATTTGGTTTTTGATTTCTTTGTGTGTTATGTTTTTTGTGAAATTTTTATTTCTTTTCTGTTTTTTGTTTGGATTTTCAACTGAATTTTTTTTTTTTCACTCTTTTGACCTGATTTTGTATACTTTGAATCGGTGGTTTTGGATTCTACTCTATCTCCGACAAGCAAAGTCTAAAACGAAATTATAGTTGGTCGGAGTAGGAATTGGAGGAAAAAATATACTCCGACTATAGTTGGATTTAGAGTTTGGATGTATGCTTTCCGACTCCGTCAGAGTCAGTGTCGACCCCTATTTCTCTCCAACCAAATAACCCATACCGTAGCAAGCATTACACAATTTCATAGTGCCACTCCTTTATTAGGATTCCCAAAACCCTTTAAAATCCTCAACAAATATAGAAGAAAAGGGCCAAGGTACCCAACTCAAATTTTCACAGGTATCAGAAACTTCTCCTTTCAACCCCATTAGCATTCCATCCATTAGGTTGCAAACCATATTTGCTCTTGATAACCGCATGTCATAGAGACTTTTGTTCTAAAGGAAATCTCCAAAACCATTTTCCAAATAAAGCCACATTTCTTACTTTAAAATTTTACACTGAAAAACCCCTTTTCCTTCTCCATTCACTTCCCTCAAAATATCCCCCCATCAATTTTTCAATCTTATAAACAACCCTGCTTGGCATTTTAAAAAGAGAAAAGTATATGGGAATACTAGATAAAACTAACTTGACCAAAGTCAATCTACCCCATTTGGAAATAAAAGCTCTCTTTCACCTATCTAATCTCTTCCCCACTTTTTCAATGACAGGGTCCCAAAAAGTCGAGGATAATGATTCCCACCCAAAGGAAGATCAAGATACTTAAGGGGCCAATCTCCCACTGAGCACCCTAAAATATTAGCCAACTTATTAAACTTCTTCGGAATGGAATTTATACCCACAATCACACTTTTTCACTTTCAATCCTGAAACAAGCGCACATATTGTTATTCATGACGTTAATCTATTTCAAGATCATTTAGAGGTTATTCATTCATTGAATTTATATGTTAAAGATTTATTATCTCTATGGAATTAAATCCTGAGATATTGTTAAGTGAAAAAAAGAAAAAAAAAATGAGATTATGGAAGTAAATATTCTTGCATTTATTGCTGCTGCACTATTTATTCTCGTTCCTACTACTTTTCTACTTATTATATAAGTCAAGACCAGTTAGTCCAAATGAGTAATTAATTTAAATGAAACTTGATTTCTATATTCTTATCAATGATGAAGAACTAAAACGAAAAGAATTCCAATCAGGGCCGGCTCAACAGTATTAAAAAAGAAAAACATGGGCTTTAGGCCTCAAATTTTTAAAATGCCCCATAATTTTAGATACATTACATAAAAAATTTAAGTCCAATCAAAAAATTATAATTTCAATAATTTGGGCCTACAATTCAATTTATAATATTAGAAATTCAAAAATAAAAAATTTAAAAAATAAATACAAAAAAATTCAAAAGTCAACTCATATTTACTCACATCTATCCTATCTCTTTCTCTCTCTCTTAAAAAAACAAAAACAAAAACAAAGTATCACACTCTCTCACTTAAAAAAAATTAAAAATATATATTTTTTTAAAATAATACTAAAAATAAAAAAGCCTCATTTAATATTACCACTTTAGGCCTCAAATTACCTTGAGACATCCTTGATTCTAATTTTGCGTCTCAAATGAAATGAGAAGACTATAATCGGTAGTATTCAATTTGATACTTGACATCACGACATGAAAGAGATATAAAAGGATATTAAAAATTTGTGTCCAGTCCAAAACCTAAGAAAAAACAACCAAAAAAAAACAGAGAAGAGAAGAAAATGAAGTATTGAAACATCTTTTGAACTCGTATAATTCTTGTGCTCAGCAGCAAAAGATTTTCAGTAAATAATGAAAAAAGAATTACATGAAATGGTTTCAGTAGTCAATACATATTCTCCTGAAGCGCGAGAGAGCGATAGAGAGAACGAGAGAGAGTGATAGAGAGAGATCACCACAAAACTCATACATAACCAATTTACTCTATATACTAACGATTGACGTAGGACTCAAGGTTGGCATTTAATACCACATGCCAATACGAAGAGCCAATCCTTGATCCGATTATAACAAGCATCATCTGCCACCAATATCACATAGAATCTATCCATGGTAACAGATGGAGCAATAACTTTGAGTTACTGCCATTTAAAGAGAGACAGGAAACCCATAATCTAAAGGTAGAAAACCCAAATGGATTAGTCAGGTGCTACAAAAGAACAAACAGTAAACAACTGGATAAAAATACAGATTGCATGTGTCAGTCTCACAGATTACTTCGCATACAAAGATATGAGAGAAGAAAAAAGAACAGATAATTGTACCAAGCTCAGTGAAATGAGGCTCTATTTTTGCCTGAACCAAGAGGGTATTCACAACATCTTTTTGGGTCATGTAATACCAAAGACATCGTTCTATAAGATTTTGCACCTGTAATCATACATAGATAATCAGAAGATGATCAATCACGAAAGTAATCAGACTTTCTAAACTGAGGTACTACAACCTTTTTTCTAATAAAAGCAAAAATGA